ACCACCATTTTTCTCGCCACTTCCCTCCCTTCCCTCCCAACCTCCTACCTCTCTCACTCTGCTCAATACTAGGAGAATCCTCTCTCGCAGGTTGGAGGAGACGCGAAGAGCGACGAAGAGGTCATGTGCTCTCAGGTGCGATGGAAGCAGCTGCTGCTTTTCGCCTCTCTACCGCTCCTCTCCTGTCCTCTCCTCACTCCCCTTCTCCTCTCTCCTCCTTCCCCTCCTCTTCCTCTCTGCTGTCTTCTACCCACTCCATCCTCACCCCAACCCCACAGATCGCATACCTCGAGAGGTGCCCAGCAGCTCGGAACAAGCGGTCTACTCCTCCTCCTCCTCGTCCTCACATGGAGGGCAAGCCGGACGACTTTTCCTCGTCCGATCTTCGTGTACGCGCGTCCTTTCCCGCCCTCAGTCATTGGCTGATATGCTGCCAGATCGTAAAGTGGCATGTGCACTACGGGGCCAAGGACAAGAACCCTGTGGACAAGATCTGGTTCTACCCGAAGAGCTCCTGCGAGCACGAGAGGTGCGATGAGAGGAGAGGACGAGGGGTGCGATGAGAGGAGAGGACGAGGGATGAGAGGAGAGGACGAGGGGTTCGATCAGAGGAGAGGAGGAGGGGTGCGATCAGAGGAGAGGAGGAGGGGTGCGATGAGACTTGAAGCAGGTGGGAGGCAGGTGAGGTGGAGGCAAGAAAAGTCTCCTCGACGAGGTACAGGCAGAAGCTGCCCAGGTTCTTCAGCGCTCGAGAGCTCAAGGTATGAGTCGAGCATGCCATCTATCCCACCTCCCCTTCAAAGCTGCTGCTGCATATCGGCATCGATCCATTGAGACCTCCAATACTCGTGCTGTGCAATCAGGACAGCAGAGAGAGAGAGAGAGAGAGAGAGAGAGAGAGAGAGAGAGAGAGAGAGTCTATCCCTCTTGCTCTACCACCATACCATCATCGTATCAAGACCCTCTCAACTCTTGTCTCTCCTTGACCTACACCTCCAAACTCTCTCCTCTCCTCATAATCCTCAGGTCTTCTGCACTTCTAGAGATGCTCGGCAAAGGGTCGTCGAGGCTGTAAATGTGCGCTGGCGTCTCAGAGGCGACGGATGCTGACGTCTTAGCAGAGCTGGCGGGAGCGATACGAGACATCTGAATGATGAGACGGTGATGGGTGTGAACAAGTGAAAAGAATGAATGTACCAATACTCACACGAACGGACAAGAGGGAAATGTTTCATAGAGAAGAACAACAATCTTCAAGACAATTTCAGGAAGAAAGTGTGACTAAGTACCACCACATCCTCCTCATCCTAATCCTCATCCTCATCCTCCTCCATCCCCTCCCCTCCCCTCCCCTCCCCTCCCCTCCCTCCCTCCCTCCCTCCCTCTCACCCTGTCCTTGGACCCTACCCCCTCGATGTACTATAATCAAAGCGAAAAACTACCGGTAC